ACATTATCGCGTCACAAAGTCCTAAGTGGATAAACTCATAGATTATATTGCCAACCCTTTTTTAAAGTAATTTGGCAAGCTTGCTAGCACAAGAATAGGAACTGTAACTTTCACAGATATGTTGGTCAAACCGAAACAAAACAGAGTTATTCCAGAACAATCAAAAAATCTACTTCAATTATTTCATATTTAGCGTTTAGGGATACTGCAGTCTAATTCTAAACTCCTCCACAATTTAAAGTCGAGTCCCTAAGCAGATATTGGCTCTTGCTATGTCCCAAGCCAAGAAGATAATGTAATTAACATAATAAAACATGGTGATTTACATACCACCCACATAACTCAGGCAGATAAATTATCCTCCCACAAATACAAAAAAAATCCTGACATATTTAGGGAAGTTAGCTTTAGAGTTAAATTCAAGCATAGAAATATGAAGTAAACAATTCAGTATTCAAGTTAGTTTACAGCTCTTTGGGGGCCTGACAGATCATCCAAGCTCGAAGACAGTGGAGAATTTGGTTAGCTGCTCAACCTTTTTTTCATAGAAAAATACCATGTCCATAGAAGAAATGAAATTAATTTCAACTTACTCAGTGATCCACTCTTTTATTTGACCTTAGTTAAAGGCAAACCAAGTACAGATACTGTACATTAAAATGTATGCACATAGAACAAACAGTTGTTCTTCATTCTACCTTAAAGGCTCAAACCTCCACACTTGTTTATTTAGAGCCCTTTGCAGGCAATGACTCCTCTCAGAAACACATTGCACCCACATTTAAATATAGAGAGATCCATCTGCAGGTCCCACATAGCCAACACCTATTAGCAGCACATCAATCAGTGTCCATATTCCGAGTCCACCGAAGCTGAAGAGTTTTCCCAGACCTTCCCGCCACTGACCCAAATAGAAACGATCGGCGCCAAATCCACCAAGGGTGATGCTAAAAGAATAAAATATGATTAATTATTATTATTTTTAGAGGAACTGAGCTTGGGTACCCAAGTGTTTTTCCTCCAGCCTGTTTGTTGAAGACAGCCAGCACTGTTGCATGTGAACCCTTCATGCATTCTATACCCACCATCTCAAGCTAGACTATCTGAAATACTGATTATCCAGCATAACTTTAAAAAATACCAAGCAGAAAAACACAGAACCTGAAAATTTTAAAGAAAACTAATCTATTCCAGCTGGACATTATCCAATAGTTCCTGCTTACCTTAGTGCCAAGGCAGTAGACCACTTATAACCTCCAGTCCAGTTGCAATAGAGCATCTTAGGAAAGACACGGTTACCTAAGCATTAGAAAATATTAAAACCTTAATGCAATAAACAAAGACCACATTATAAGGAAGAAAATTACAAGGAAGAAGATGCTACATTTTTCCAAAAGGAGTCTGAAAGGGTTGTCACTGACTGAGAAACAATTGTCAACACACAAGCTCATTTATACCCTGCAGTTCTCTGTTCCAGCAGTCTTGGTCCCATATCAGAAAAGTCAGTGAACAAACAGATGGAAAATTAAGCCTAGCTGGACAGAATCAGCATAATTTTTTTTAAATTGGCCTGTGGAGACACTTGATATTGATTCTATTAGTGGTCTGAGAATCAGACCACTAGTAGGTTCAAGTAATTTTAACTCACAGAAGTTGACAAAAATAAAAAGAACTTTTTTCTCTGGTGTGACAGTATACAAAAATACAATAAGTCAATGTCTACAGTTAGATGTCACTATTATGCTAAAAAATGAAATGCAACAATAAATTCAGTAGATTTATCAAGGAGCTGTTATTGCAAAAGGACATAAACAATCTTTGTATTCCCCCATTACAAAATATGTGGAAAATTCTTTTGAGCACTCCAGCTTTGCCCACCTTACCCAGACAATGAATGTGATCCCGGACTGTGCAGGTTGCATTGTATCGCTGTCGAGGGCAGGAAACTGTCATGCAGTTTGTGGAATTGGTACACACATAATCACTTGTGGCCAGCTGCCAGCAAAACTGGCACGTCATGTTAATTGTAAAGTTCTCCTGCTCGTGGTTATTCTCATCCTGTAAAAGGACAGCACTATTACTTCAATAGTATTAAAACCAAGAATCAATGCGCAGTATCAAATTAGATTTCATGAGCAGACATTTTGGGCAAAAGAACACTTGTTCTGTTTGCTACCTTTTATAGAGCAGAATAGAAAACCACCAAAGAGGTATCAAAGTCACATTGAACATTCCTTATTCCTCCAATCTAAGGCTGCTGCCAAAAGGAGGACTCATTTAGTCTTACCTGTAAGGTCAGTTTGTGCTCTGACAGATATTTAGCCTCCCCACTCTCAAAATGTTTGGAATGGTTTAACTCAAAGGCATGGCCAGGTAATGAAAACATCCAAGGCGAGAAAGGCAAACCAGGGAAGGGCAAGCCAGCCTCCTCAACAGCCCACAGTGAGTGATCAAACTCATCACAGAACTGCAAACCTGCCTACATCAGAACCTGGATATCAATATTCTGCATTTTAATACCAGATGCCACAGTTTAACTACTTAAATCTGGGGTTAAGAGTAACAGGTTACTTACAACACAGTGAACATGTGGCTTGACTCTGCAATCAAAAGTAGCTGTCTTCCCATATACACAGGAATAGTTTGTGTTACATGTCATGCAGTCTGGTGGCAGCCTACTGCAAAGCCCGTTGCTGGGACAGTTAGTCAGGTAAGGTGGAATTTCTGTACTTTCTGAAATGTGCAATAAGTGAATTAAGAACATGAGTAAAAAAAAAAGCTAAATAGTCTGAAGTATTTATATACATTATTTTATACATACACATAGACAAACACATGCACTGACACTGCATAAAGGGCTTTCCTCACTATACATGGAGCAGCATTCCCATCCTGTGCTGTGAGAGCCAGAGGAGCCACAGGGCTCTGTGCAGGACAGCAGCCAGCATCCAGCACAGCACCAGGACTGAGCTGATGGGGATTAGTGCTGCCTCAGCCAGCGCTCCTCAGCACAAGTAATCACTTCAGGAATAGCAGCGGCTGACACGGGTAACCTACTTGGAGTTGAGCTCTAATTAGGGCTACAGCTACCTCAGCCATTTGCTGCTTGCACGTGTACAGAATCCCCTCCTAAACTGCCAGCAAGAACAGCATTTCTGTCAGTTCTGGTGCACCCTCAGCGAGCTACAAAGCTGTACTGATGGTGGACAGGGAGCAAGTTCTCGCAGGATGCTGGAGTCTTTCAAGAACTTCCACCATCCTGAGGGGTATAAACCACACACACCACCATGGTACTTTAACCTACCATTTTCTAATTCTTATATGGACCAGTTGTCTAATTAGATAACCCAAAGTAATTGGTGTGGTCATTGAAGAGTAATTAATAATGTGTTACACTGCAACGCTTCTTTACCACTGTGAAATGATGTAGTTTCTAAGACCCAGTTTAAGAACTTTTGGACTCAAGACTGAGAAGGATCCAGGAATAACAACCAAAAGAAACATAACAACTTACCTACTGCTTTAAAATAGGGAGCATTTGTACTTGTTGAAGTTAGGCTTTTTGCCAGTGTAGACTGTGGCTGTGAAAGCTTTGTCGTCATCAAAGATCCCGCTACAAGACAAAAACAATGGAGAAAGTAACATTTCTAAAACAAACTTCATCTTCAGAAACAGTGTGATTTCAGCACTCTGATATGAAAATGAAGTGGAAAGTGTAATGAGATTAAAATAAAATCTGTTTTCCTGTTCTACTAATAGCGGGATATTTGTGTTAAATACTAGAAAGAGCATTAGTATGGAATTGTTCCTTTAAGACAAGGAACTACATTTATTTCCATCCAATCTTATTTTTTGATTCATGAGAATTAAAAGCACTGCTCAGAAAGCAGATTTGACACAGGGTTTTCTACTGAACAATACCATTTAAAGAAGCAATACAAGCTGTTCTTTAACAGAAGGATGGAGCAGAGGAGCCGCTCGGGAGGCACGGCCGTG